GGCCGGGGCCGCGGGGCCCGGGGGCCGAGGCGGCGCCGACGGCTCCTGCTGGTTGCGCAGGGCGATCTGCCTCTGCAGCCGCAGCACCTCCCGCTGGGACTCGCGCAGCAGCCGGTCGAAGTCCCGCACGTGGAGCCACTGGGGGCCCTCCTGAGGTTGGGGGGAACAGGGAGGAGGAGAGTCAGGCCTAGCCGCAGCCCGCTCTCCACCTCGCTAGAGGAGCTGCGACGCGCGCGAACGTGCAGACCCTCGCCTACATCCATGCTTGGTCCTAGGTGCACGCGTATGCGGCCACATGCTTCCGCGAGCCCGTGTGCGGTCACGGTGACTCATTTACTGGGCGCTCACGGTGTGCCCGGCACTGTGCTAAGTGCCTTGTGAACATCACTTCACACAAGTGTGAGGTATGTGTGGCTTCATCCAGCCAGACCCGCTGGCATACAGCCCGAAGCCTGGAGCACAGAAATTCCCAGGTCTGAGACTCGTGGCCCCGCCCCCTTCAGTTCAGGCTCCTTCTCCCAGCTCGCACCTGGGCCGTTGCCAGGGGAACCTACTCCCCAGCCCCTTCCACCTTCCCGCTTCATTTGCATCTCATCAACATCTCGTACACATCCCACAAGCCAGGCAGGCGGCCCCCCGTGTAGGGCTGATCAGGAAGGGGTGACCAGGGCCTCGCACCTTGCCAGCCAGGGTGAGCCTGGCCTGCAGCTCCCTGCATTCCCGCTGCAAGGCAGCGATCTGCTTGTCCTTAGCGAGCAGGGCGCTGGCTGTCTCATTGAGGTCTCGGGCTCGCTGATGGGCCAGGGCCTTCCGGCACAGCTCCAAGCTGGCCCCAGGTCGGGGCACAGGGGCGCTCACCTGGCCAGAGGAGGGGTAAGGCCAACGATCATCTGAGGGCTGGGGCACTTCTCCCACTCCTCAGCTCCTCTCAACGGAGGGGTTAGGATGAAAACCTGGAAGTTTTGCCTCCTGCTTCCACCCCGTATTGGGGGCTTTAGGGGACCGCTAGCCTCACTTGACTCCATCCCCGCAAATCCTCAGACAGGACTGAGGGGGTTAACTCCACATCCTAGTTTAGGCCCAAAGGATGCTGCTAATTCAGGGCTGCCTCTGTCGTGGGTCTTCATCCCTGCCCCCACCAGCTCTGCACCCAGAGATGAGCTCAGCGGGAGGCGTCAGCCAGCACCAGCACGTGGTAATCCAGAAACCTGCTCCCTGCCTGTTCAGGAACTCCCCGCCCAGCCCTGCCCTCCCTCCGGTAACTCCAGAAACCCTCCGCCTCCTAGCCCAGCCGGCATTTGCCCTGCCTAGCCCTTGGCCCCTGGCTTCCTGCTCCCCTGGGTGCTAGGAGTCCACGCCTCCTCAGCCCCACTCCCTCGGACCCGTCCTGGCTCCCCTCTCTCCCTGGTCACCCCGCCTCCATCCGGCAGCCTCCCGTCCTCACCACCTTCAGGTTAGTCTCCTGCAGCTTCCGGGCCCTCTCCTCCAGGCGCTTGGCAATGACCGCCAGCTGGGCATTCTTCCGCTTCAGCCTCCGCACCTTCTCCTCTGTCTCAGGGAAGCTGCTCTTCCTCTGACAAGGGGTCAGCCAGAATTGGGGCATGTGGGGAGCGTCCCACGGACCCAATCCTAACCGTCCAGGACGTGGGTTAGAGCCCTGGGCTCACAGTGGGGTCCTTGGCAACTCTAGATAGGGGTTCATCCTCTCTGGGTCTTGGGGTCATATCACCTCCATGTAGCCCCCACTTGGAGGCATAGTTTATGGGATGAGGAGGACACTGAGGCAGAGGGCTGGGGTGTCTGAGTCTGCCTCCCCCCAGCTCCAACGGGGACTCGGGACTTGCTTTCCAAGCCTCACCAGCATCTGATTTTCCTCCTTAAGCATGGCACAGCGCTGCTGCAGCTCCCCCAGGGCCCTCAGCAGCTCCGGATTGGGCCTGTCCCCGCAGCCCATGTTCAGCTTGCCCTGGCATGGCAAAGGATAGGGTGCCGCACCTCAGGAACACACCCTCCCTAGTCAAAGCCCCCCATATGGAAGCAGCCTGCCCGCCAACGGTCTAGAGAGACATGGAGACGAGAAGGTTCTCCCCCAAGTCCCAGGCCTTCCGAGATGAGCATAGGAGGCCCAGAAGGGGCCCACACCGGCCTCCTCCAGTCCTGGGACCCTCTCTGCTAGTCCCCAATTCTGTCCGTCTCTGCCCATCTCTTCCTGGGAAATGCCAGCCAGAGCTCCCAGCCCCACCCCTCCAGGCTCCTTATGGGCCCTGTGTCCCCTTCCTTCCCCCAAAGCCCTGGTCCTTCCATCTTCTATACGAGGCTGCTCACATCTACCCCAAACCTTGTCCTACATGGCTCAGCCCAGCACTGAGCCCCCTCCTCTGAACTCTGATTCCATCACACACCTCCACGACCCCCACCACCCCCACCCCCCGGATCCTCCAGCACCCAAGGACAGAGACTCTTGGAGGAGGAGACACAGACAGACAGACCATCAGAGAGAGACACACAGAGGGAAGGGGTAGGGGCAGGGCCAGATGTAGCAGACAGGCAGAGAGTCAGAAGGCCAGACATACGGCAAAAAATGGAGCCCCTGAGATTCCTGCCCAGAGTGGGCATGGCACACAGTCACAGAGAAGGAGCCCCTGACAGAGACAGGCCAGGAGAAGAGACGCAGGCCGTGGGGTTGCATATCGTGCCCAGGCTGGAGGGCATCATGAGAGCCCCCCCCCTACGTAGACCCCAGCTCCCTTACCTTAGGGAGAGCCTCCACCTCCTCGTCCTCCAGCCTCGGGCAGCTGGGTCTGGAGCTCGCTGCTTGGTGCCTCAGGCCGGGCAGCCCAGTTTTGGTTCCTTCGGTGTCAATGCCCCCCATAGCCCCGGGGCTCTGGGCTCCCTCAGGCTCAGAGCTCTCCTCGGGCCTCAGCCCTGCACCCTGCAGAGCTGCTGGAGTATCAGCGATGCTTGGGCTTGCGCCTCCAGGTTTGCGCCCCTGGCCCGGAGTCCAGCTCTGCCAGGCGGGCAGGGCCCATGGCTCCATGGCTCTGGGGTCCCCCAGCCGTGGGAGGGGTGTCAGTTGCTCCATGATACTGCCAAGGGGCCCCAGGACCCGGGCCGGGGGACATGACCCAGCCAAGCGGAGGGGCTGGCGAGGGTCATGCCGGGCCAGACCCTCTCCTCCCTGAGCTCTTAGCTTCACCGAGGCTCCATCCGAGGTTGGCCCTTCTTCCTCACCCACAAAGGAGGCTGCGGGAGTCGGAGCTGCCAGAGCCGAAGCTGGGGGTATGCGGGCTATGTTTGCTCGTGGCTGTGTGTGTGCGCGGGTGTGTGGACGCGCGAGGATGTCCCCGCGGGGGCAGGGCGGATGGCAGAGGCCACGACCAGTAGCGCCCGGGTGAGGGTCGGCGCGTGTCTCCAGCTCCGTGCGTCCCAGGCAGCGCTGCCTCGCGTGTGTTTGGAGGACGGATGCCCCCACTCGTGCGTGTTGGGGGTAGTGGTTCTGCGTGTCACTGTGCCTGTGTCGGAGTTACCGGTTGTTTCTCTGTGGGGGGGGAGGGGTGTCCGTGTTGCAGGGCTGTGGCAGCGTGTGATGCTGTCACTGGTTGTATCCGAGCCGCTCCGCGTTGTGCAGCTCTGTGCCTCGGTGTCATCGCATGTCCGTCAGCGTCTGCGAGTCTGGCCATCCATCACGACCCTCGGCCTGGCTGGGGCGTGCAGGAGCTGCTGGGGGTGATCCTCAACCGTCCGCTGGGGTCCTTTATCTCCTGCCCCCTCTCTGCTGCTGCTTGCTGCTTTCCCGCTCGCTGGGCGGTCGGCTGGTCCTAAGGAGGCCTGGGTCGGTGGGCCGCTTGCCTCATAGTCTCTGTCCCTGCTGGCCTCAGCTCTGGGGACTGCAAGGGGTCCCCTACGGTCCAGGAGCCCCGAGATGGTGGGCGCAGAGGAGGGCTGAGCCTCAGAATGGGGGGGGGTGCGAGCAGGGGAGAGCCAGCCCTCCCCTCCCCCTCTTCTCCCGCCCACCAATAGGAAGTCGGCTGCTGGTTTCCATGGTGATGGCGCTGGACTGGTGGGCTGGACCAGCAGGCAGGGTCGGGACAGAGGAAAGAGCTGCTTCCTCACGGGATCCCAGCCCGGTACCCCCGACATGCAGCCTCCCACCCCTCGTCCCCACACGCCCCTGCACCTTCCTTGTACAGAGGCGAGTGGGCTGCAGATGGTCCTCCCCACATCGGCCCCAGCCCGAGACCAGTAAAGACAGGGACAGGAGGTGGTAAGACAGACAGAGCCAGCCATGGAAAAGGATAGGTATAGAAAAGATGGGATTTGAGATGAAACAAAGAGAGAGACAGAGAAATCAAAAGAATGAGAACAGGAAGACAGAAACAGAGACAGAGGTAGAAATTGGAATTGCTTCGGCTTCCTCCTGGCAGACTTCATTCTGGGGGCAACCTGGCCCTCTTGGGCCAGCCGGGGAGACCACATGGCCTGTTGGGCTGGCTTTGCCCTGAACTGCAAGGAAGTTCATCTTCTGTCTAGCCTCAGGCCTTTGTGCTATGGGAAGATGGCTTTTGGGGACAAGGACATGGGAACTCCCCTACCCATGAGTTGACCTGTATGTGGGGGCAGGGACCTAGATGGAGTCCCAGAGACAGGCGTGTTGGGAGGGGTCTCGGGGAGGCAGTCCCTGTCCCCTCCTAACCCGGGACTAAGTCCATCTGCGCACAAGCCAGTCTCCGCCAAGGTTGGGGGCCCTCGTGTGGCGCCCTGGGGAACAGCAACCGCGCCTCTGCGCCCCGGAGCCCCTGACTGTGGGCTCCACCCAGGCGGAGCTGATGAAACTGCAGGCGGGGGCGTGTACATGGGGAGGGGGTGGTATCCTCACTTCCCTAAAGTTGTGTGTACATCAGTATGTGCACCACGACATGTATGCTGCTGACGTTTATGAGCGGGCACGTAGGCATGCCATTATTTGCACGCATGTGTATCGTACGCACGTAGAGTACGCACGTACAGACTAGGCATATATTTCTCTCTGTATACACGGGAGGGGCCGTTGTATTAGTCTGCATATGTCCACAGAAACATGGATGCGTATGTGTGTGCTATTGTGTGTTTGTGAGGTCATGACTGTGAGTACGTAAGTTATAACATGTATGTCACAGTACATGTAGATGCATGGCGTTCTTGGACACTTCGCAATATATGACACACTCCGTGCAGGCATGTAAATATGTGTAGTGAGGGCGCCTGGGTGGCTCAGTTGGTTGGGCGACTGCCTTCGGCTCAGGTCATGATCCTGGAGTCCCAGGATCGAGTCCCGCATCGGGCTCCCTGCTCGGCGGGGAGTCTGCTTCTCCCTCTGACCCTCCCCCCTCTCATGCGCTCTCTATCTCATTCTCTCTCTCAAATAAATAAATAAAATCTTGAAAAAAAAAATATGTGTAGTGACAATGACATGGTTTTATTTAGATCTATGTACGTAGATATATATGCCACCATGTATCTACTCTATATGGATAATCATGCGGGAATGTGTAGACATGTGTGTATGTGGAACCAATGCGTTTAGGACGTGACTGGCACTGTGCGTGTGTTTGTATGCTCTTCCGTGTGTAGCACACCTCGTGTGTGTTTATGGCGTGGCATGTGTGTATACTGTTGCGTATGTATGTGTCCTGAGGGTGTGTATATCTCTGTCATTGATGGACATGCCAAGCATGTCCCGGGCGTCTGTCACTGTCCATGTGTGTTGCTAGCATGGTTGAGGGGGTCCTTGTGTGGAAATGCACATGCGTGACGGTGCGTATGTATACCGTGTATTAGTATCTGTGCCCTCGTTTATGTATACGATGCTTTGTGTGTGTGCCACACTTACCCAGTTCTTAGACTACCAAGGACCCAGGGGACTTCCTTAGATTAGAACTGGAGGTAGGCCACTTTCGGTTTAGGGGTGTGGAAAGTGAGTGGAGGGCAGGGCAGGGCCAGAGCAGGGAACAAGGTAGGAGGGCCCCTCCTAGCCCTGCCGCTCCCTGTCCTGCCCCCTTTCCTGGCTTTGCAGGGAGGTCTCACCGCTCCACCACCGCCCCCCAACCCGCACCCCATCCCCTCCTTCCTTCCCAGGCCGAGAGCTCTCTTCTGGTCTCACAGGCAGGGCCAAACCCATATCTCTCAAGAGAGTGAGTGAGTCTCCCTCCCGACCCCTCTGTGTGCCCACCCCATCCATGTGCCCACTAAGCCCGTTCAGCGCCCCCACCCCAACAACAAAGTCTCAGACAAAACAGAAGCAGAGTCCATTCTTTATTAGTGTTGGGACCCCTGACACCGCCCCACGCCCCGCCATTCCCCTCCATCTACCCTCCTTTCCAGCCTCTTCCTCGTCCTGGCCTCTGTCGGCTTGCGGCTGGGCCCCCACGATGCGGCTGCTCCATAGCTGGGCAAGTCCAGATGTGTGGCCCTGCCGGACCCCTGCGCCGCAGAGAAGCTCGTGCGGGCTTTTCCCGGTTGGCCACAACCGGGAGGGACAACGCCGTGGGGGACACTGGAGGCCTTTCAGGGGTCTGGGCTGGCGGGGAGGGGAGGGCGCCCGAGGGGCTCACCTGTCGCACACGGTCCCGAGCGTGGAGGAAGACAGCGGCGGGCGGCGGGCGGCAGCGGCGTGGTCTCCGAAGCCCACAGTACACTCATCCATAAAGTAGGAAACACTACACCCTCCAGTGCTGTTAGTAGTGCTTTCTACTTTATGGGTGACTGCACTGTCTGTCTGTCCATCTGCGCGTACTCTTCAGGCCGCCTGCTCCTCCTCCTGACTCCTGCTTCGAGAGCCCCCAGCCCTCCCTGTGGCTCCCTAAGGCCCTACCCCCCTGCCCCACGGCCCCCAGAGGGCCTGCTCTGGGCCCTGTGGGCGGTGACTCAGCATGGCGCCAGTCCTTGCCTCCCCTCCCTCCCTCCCCCCACTTCCTCTTTGGTTCCCTCTTCCCTTCCCCCTGCGGCTCCACCCCATCCCCCCACTTCTAGAAACACTCAGGTAGAGACCATACCTCCTCTGGTTCTGACCCCAGTTCTGACCCCCGTCCCCGGGTGACCCCTTCCAGCCACACTATCTGCCCTCCAGAGTCCAACTGAGGCAGCCACAGCTTCCTCCCACCAAGGCCTCTGTCCCCAGCGTCCTCTCCAGCCCAAGGTCCTGAGTCCCTCACCACCCAGCAGCTGCCCAGACAGAAGCCCAAGGCTGTCACAACAGAGATGGTGGCCATGTTGGGTGGAGGGAGACATTTTAGCGCCTCTCGATGACACGGAATCCCACGTTTCAGCCTACACCCACCCCCCGCTATTCCCACCCTACTCCCTGGCCCTTGTCGCTGGAAACCCAGGACCTCTCCTCTCTTCATCTGGGGCCAGGAGCCATTTTACCTTCCTTGTCTAGAGGGAAGTCAAGGCCCAGGATTTTGATTTCCCGCCACGAAAAGCCGAAAGCCGATAGATCTGAGGGTTATTGCACCTCTTTGCCTAGAGCTTTGCTAGTAAGCCTTGGCACCCAAGCTCTCAAAGTCCCTCCCCAGAGGATCTCCACCCAGGGCCTGCAACCCAAACCCCTCATCACCCCTTGAAGCTAAGAGTTGAGGAGCCCCGGTTGGGGCTGAAGTGAAGGTTCAGATCCTTACCTGATGCTGCAAGGCCCAGGGGCGCAAGCCTTGTGCTCCAGGCTCCTAAGTGGGGTTCCCTTCAGGGCGGGCAGGGCTTATAACCCAGAGGCCACGTGGGCCAGATCTCAGGGCGCCCAACGGTCTTGGAGCCCGCCCCCACACCGCAGCGGAGATTAGCGCGCCCCTCCCCTCCCTGGGGAGGACAGACTGACAGGAAACCAGCGACAAGGCTGGGTATTGGCGGGAGGGGGGCTGAAGAGACCATCTCACACGCCCTGGGCAGGTGGCTTCCGGGACCCCGGAGCCTGCCCTTCCCCCATGGCACCAAGTCCAGGGGATGGTTCAAGAGCCTGGGACTGACACAAGGTACTGGGTTAGTGACTCTAGGAGATAAGGTCTACCCTGTCAGGGCCTTCGGTGAGTGCCCAGAACACAGGGTTCCGAATGCAGCACAAGAAAAGGACCTTTTCTCTGAGTCCCACCCCCCTGACCCTAGCCCAGAAAACTCCCTTCCCTTTGGGACAGCAGTGACATTCAAACCAAGCCATGGCTCCTCTCTACGTGTTGCCTAGAGAGGCCACAAAGGTACAGATGCATGAAGGGAGGTCCAGGCCAGCACATCACAGTATCCTTCACATAGTCAGAGGCCTCGGCACCTCACAAAGCCATCCCTCCCCCAGGCCCAGCCTGTGGAAGGCCAGGCCTGTCCTCTTGGCACAGTACGGAGGCCCCACTTGGGCCAGGTGGGCCTGTTAGCACTAGGCTGGGTGTTTATGCTTCCTTTGGGGCCTATAGGGATAGGAGGGCAGGGCAGAGCAGCGGTGAGGACGAGGGTCTAGGGCAGGGCATAGGTGCCATTGGGCTTGGAGGAGTGGAGGGAAAGAAACTCCAAGGGGAGGTTCTGGCAGCCACCGGATGTGGGTACGGGGCCCGCCCACCTGCATGCCACCCCCGCTTTCCCCATGGGGAAGGCAGGAAGCTGCCCATCCCAGGGCCCCTGGCTGGGGGAGGGGAACAGGGTGTGGGGCCGGGTGGGGGCTGGGATGGACTAGGTCTAGGCCACACATTTTCCCCAAAGTTCTCCAAGCCTCTCAGTGGGTTCGTTTCTGGAATGAAGAGGAATAGTTTGGGGGGGATGGAAGGGTGGCATGCATGAACAAGAATCACCCAGTGACTCCTTCCCAGAAGGCCATGGGCCTCTTCTCTGGGTCCCCCATTCAGGGTCAGGCCCACACAAACGTCAGGGAACTCTCAGATTCAAGGGCCAAGAGAGGATTGGCATGGACTAGGGGTCAGCGGGGAGGGAGATTGCCATGCATTTTTTCGTTCGGGAAAGGGGATCCTCAACCTGAGAACTG